ACTGCTGCTTCACACTCCAGCTGAAAATGTCCCCCAATCCATCTGTGACTTCCCCCATGAGCTGGTCTAAATTTATAGGGAGATGATTAAATGAGCAACTCTTCTCCGTCCCAATTAAGTACTGTCCGTGATAAGTACTGTCCGTGATTAAGTACTGTCCGTGATACTTTTTTTATTTGCACTAACATACAATTTTGAGGACAAGCTTTCGGGGAATGTCCCCTTCTTCAGGTCCAAGCAGTATTGATCACAGTGTTTTAGCAAAATGTTATAAGAGATGTAGGGGATGGGGTAAAAAAAAAAAAGAACAGAGATAAGATACAGCAAAAGCAAAGTCGGGGGGGGGGGGGGGGGGGAGACAACACTAACAGAGGCAGTCATGCTTGAGGTGATAGTCATAAAACTGGTGGATAATGAGTGAGGAATCCCATGTCCAAATTCAGGCCCTTATCTCTTGTGTCAAATAGAATTATCATTCATAGTTCAACAGAGGCAGTCATGCTTGAGGTGATAGTCATAAAACTGGTGGATAATGAGTGAGGAATCCCATGTCCAAATTCAGGCCCTTATCTCTTGTGTCAAATAGAATTATCATTCATAGTTCAAAAGTTTTTCTTTCCTGAATGGATTTGAAATTTCCTTTAAGAACTAAAATATTGAGGTCTCCCAAAGTGTGGTCTGGTTGTGCAGACAGTACTCAATTGTTTCTGTCGCAAATGCACTAATACCGCTACAGGCTACAATCACCTCCGTCCCAACTAGGAACTGATAAGGATCACATGAATTAGGGGGAGATGTTGGTCAAAACTAGACCAGCCACACAGACACAGGCCAAAGTCATAAAAGATGATTTATTCTCTGATCACAGAAAGCCAGAAGGTGAGAATCAATCACAACAAACAGACAAAAAGATATAGACTAACTATCCTGAGTTTTGCAAATAGTCAATGCGTTGCAGAGAGACAGTTTAAGGTGGAGATGAGACAACAGTATTTACCCTAAGTTAGCAGAAAGTCAAAGCGTTGCAGAGAGACAGTTTAAGGTGGAGATGAGACAACAGCATTTACCCTAAGTTAGCAGAAAGTCAAAGCGTTGCAGAGAGACAGTTTAAGGTGGAGATGAGACAGCAGCATTTACCCTAAGTTAGCAGAAAGTCAGTGCATTTGCAGAGAGACAGTTTAAGGTGGAGATGAGACAGCAGCTTTTACCCTAAGTTAGCAGAAAGTCAGTGCGTTGCAGAGAGACAGTTTAAGGTGGAGATGAGACAACAGCATTTACCCTAAGTTAGCAGAAAGTCAATGCATTGCAGAGAGACAGTTTAAGGTGGAGATGAGACAGCAGCTTTTACCCTAAGTTAGCAGAAAGTCAGTGCGTTGCAGAGAGACAGTTTAAGGTGGAGATGAGACAGCAGCATTTACCCTAAGTTAGCAGAAAGTCAAAGCGTTGCAGAGAGACAGTTTAAGGTGGAGATGAGACAACAGCATTTACCCTAAGTTAGCAGAAAGTCAAAGCGTTGCAGAGAGACAGTTTAAGGTGGAGATGAGACAGCAGCATTTACCCTAAGTTAGCAGAAAGTCAGTGCATTGCAGAGAGACAGTTTAAGGTGGAGATGAGACAGCAGCTTTTACCCTAAGTTAGCAGAAAGTCAGTGCGTTGCAGAGAGACAGTTTAAGGTGGAGATGAGACAACAGCATTTACCCTAAGTTAGCAGAAAGTCAAAGCGTTGCAGAGAGACAGTTTAAGGTGGAGATGAGACAACAGCATTTACCCTAAGTTAGCAGAAAGTCAAAGCGTTGCAGAGAGACAGTTTAAGGTGGAGATGAGACAACAGCATTTACCCTAAGTTAGCAGAAAGTCAAAGCGTTGCAGAGAGACAGTTTAAGGTGGAGATGAGACAACAGCATTTACCCTAAGTTAGCAGAAAGTCAATGCATTGCAGAGAGACAGTTTAAGGTGGAGATGAGACAGCAGCATTTACCCTAAGTTAGCAGAAAGTCAGTGCATTGCAGAGAGTCAGTTTAAGGTGGAGATGAGACAGCAGCATTTACCCTAAGTTAGCAGAAAGTCAAAGCGTTGCAGAGAGACAGTTTTAAGGTGGAGATGAGACAGCAGCATTTACCCTAAGTTAGCAGAAAGTCAGTGCGTTGCAGAGAGACAGTTTAAGGTGGAGATGAGACAGCAGCATTTACCCTAAGTTAGCAGAAAGTCAAAGCGTTGCAGAGAGACAGTTTAAGGTGGAGATGAGACAACAGCATTTACCCTAAGTTAGCAGAAAGTCAAATCGTTGCAGAGAGACAGTTTAAGGTGGAGATGAGACAACAGCATTTACCCTAAGTTAGCAGAAAGTCAAAGCGTTGCAGAGAGACAGTTTAAGGTGGAGATGAGACAACAGCATTTACCCTAAGTTAGCAGAAAGTCAATGCATTGCAGAGAGACAGTTTAAGGTGGAGATGAGACAGCAGCATTTACCCTAAGTTAGCAGAAAGTCAGTGCGTTGCAGAGAGTCAGTTTAAGGTGGAGATGAGACAGCAGCATTTACCCTAAGTTAGCAGAAAGTCAATGCATTGCAGAGAGACAGTTTAAGGTGGAGATGAGACAGCAGCTTTTACCCTAAGTTAGCAGAAAGTCAGTGCGTTGCAGAGAGACAGTTTAAGGTGGAGATGAGACAGCAGCATTTACCCTAAGTTAGCAGAAAGTCAAAGCGTTGCAGAGAGACAGTTTAAGGTGGAGATGAGACAACAGCATTTACCCTAAGTTAGCAGAAAGTCAAAGCGTTGCAGAGAGACAGTTTAAGGTGGAGATGAGACAACAGCATTTACCCTAAGTTAGCAGAAAGTCAATGCATTGCAGAGAGACAGTTTAAGGTGGAGATGAGACAGCAGCATTTACCCTAAGTTAGCAGAAAGTCAGTGCATTGCAGAGAGTCAGTTTAAGGTGGAGATGAGACAGCAGCATTTACCCTAAGTTAGCAGAAAGTCAAAGCGTTGCAGAGAGACAGTTTAAGGTGGAGATGAGACAGCAGCATTTACCCTAAGTTAGCAGAAAGTCAGTGCGTTGCAGAGAGACAGTTTAAGGTGGAGATGAGACAGCAGCATTTACCCTAAGTTAGCAGAAAGTCAAAGCGTTGCAGAGAGACAGTTTAAGGTGGAGATGAGACAACAGCATTTACCCTAAGTTAGCAGAAAGTCAAATCGTTGCAGAGAGACAGTTTAAGGTGGAGATGAGACAACAGCATTTACCCTAAGTTAGCAGAAAGTCAAAGCGTTGCAGAGAGACAGTTTAAGGTGGAGATGAGACAACAGCATTTACCCTAAGTTAGCAGAAAGTCAATGCATTGCAGAGAGACAGTTTAAGGTGGAGATGAGACAGCAGCATTTACCCTAAGTTAGCAGAAAGTCAGTGCGTTGCAGAGAGTCAGTTTAAGGTGGAGATGAGACAGCAGCATTTACCCTAAGTTAGCAGAAAGTCAATGCATTGCAGAGAGACAGTTTAAGGTGGAGATGAGACAGCAGCTTTTACCCTAAGTTAGCAGAAAGTCAGTGCGTTGCAGAGAGACAGTTTAAGGTGGAGATGAGACAGCAGCATTTACCCTAAGTTAGCAGAAAGTCAAAGCGTTGCAGAGAGACAGTTTAAGGTGGAGATGAGACAACAGCATTTACCCTAAGTTAGCAGAAAGTCAAAGCGTTGCAGAGAGACAGTTTAAGGTGGAGATGAGACAACAGCATTTACCCTAAGTTAGCAGAAAGTCAATGCGTTGCAGAGAGACAGTTTAAGGTGGAGATGAGACAGCAGCATTTACCCTAAGTTAGCAGAAAGTCAGTGCGTTGCAGAGAGTCAGTTTAAGGTGGAGATGAGACAGCAGCATTTACCCTAAGTTAGCAGAAAGTCAGTGCGTTGCAGAGAGTCAGTTTAAGGTGGAGATGAGACAGCAGCATTTACCCTAAGTTAGCAGAATGTCAATGCGTTGCAGAGAGTCAGTTTAAGGTGGAGATGAGACAGCAGCATTTACCCTAAGTTAGCAGAAAGTCAATGCATTGCAGAGAGACAGTTTAAGGTGGAGATGAGACAGCAGCATTTACCCTAAGTTAGCAGAATGTCAATGCGTTGCAGAGAGTCAGTTTAAGGTGGAGATGAGACAGCAGCATTTACCCTAAGTTAGCAGAAAGTCAATGCATTGCAGAGAGTCAGTTTAAGGTGGAGATGAGACAGCAGCATTTACCCTAAGTTAGCAGAAAGTCAATGCATTGCAGAGAGTCAGTTTAAGGTGGAGATGAGACAGCAGCATTTACCCTAAGTTAGCAGAAAGTCAATGCATTGCAGAGAGTCAGTTTAAGGTGGAGATGAGACAGCAGCATTTACCCTAAGTTAGCAGAATGTCAATGCGTTGCAGAGAGGCAGCAACATTAACACATCCCAAAAACACAAAACACATCAAAAATGCATTTAAAACATAAAAAATGCATGTGACAAAAATTCAAACCGCACCGCAAATGCACAGGAAAAACATATCAACCGCAACCTGAATAGGTGTGAACTTAGCGTGACTGATTTGTTTGGCACCTCGTCTTATTAGCTCAGGAAATTGTCCAGGGAAGTCCTTCCTTTCCCATATTTTGAAGGATCCTCACAAATACCAGCTGAGGAAGAATCCTGGGTACTGTCTGTGCAGGAGACTTTGTCTTCAGAAATATCTCACCTCCCAATCAATATCCTGTAGGTTTGGGCAATCAGGCAACACTGATAAATGCCTTCGGGTTCTCCCCTCATTCTCTTCAAGGTCCTGTCATAAAATATTAAATGTAACATTTTCACAGCTATAGATGTGGTGGGGAAAGATTCCTATCACAACAGTTTGGAATAAAACCTGCACCTTTCCATGAAAAAGAGCTAGTCTATTTAGAGTTATGTCGGCTGAAATATTTTGTAGACTATCCTATAATTACTGATGAGAAGCATGGTGTCCCTGACTAACGAGAGTATCTCCTGTACTTTCTTCACAGATTAAAGACAGCACAACGGTGAAAGTGCCAGTGGGGATAGCACAACATGGACCAGTTGTGTGTATTGTGACGATTGCAGTCACCCTGATTTGCACTGGAATGCTACTCAGAACAGTATACAAGCACAAGCAGAAGTCCTCATAGCATTTAAAAGAAGGAACTTCTGTGTGCGTTGACAAAGTTCAGTTACATCAGAGACAAAACAAGGAAGTGAAATTCAGACACAAGGGTGTTATACAGTAATCAGTGGGAAGCACAGTGGCATTTTGCAAAATGCTGTAACACATAGCAGCAAATCTAATTTTGGTTTACTGTACTGAGTTAAGATTTGTTGCTGATTGATTGAAGGAGGGGGCTGTAATTTGTTCATGGGCATTGCACTTTTTATTCTTTTACTGAATTTCACTTATGGTGGTTTATATTTTCCTTTTTAGTCTAGACTGATATCTCTCTGTCTAAATGAAAAAATGCATTCTTTAATAGTTTTTTTCTAAATAGTGACTTACAGGCAGTTATCCATAGCAGGTAACATCTAAAGGCAAGTCATTACAGCTCTTTGTAAAAAATTGTGTAGAAATATGTAGGAATCTGAGAATCTGATAACTTTTACATTCTTCAAAATGCAGGATGCTTCAGTTTACTTGTGTTTTGCACTGTGTGGGCTCCCTGACCTGAAAGGACACTCCACCCATAACAAGGACTGTGGGGCCTTTTACTGCTGTACAGGGCAGGTAAACAGACCTAAAAATCTGAAAAAGAACAGCGATATCAACTGTAATGAGCAAGAGGTGTAAAATAGCCTGTTAAAAATATATATATATATATATATATATATATATATATATATATATTATGTACAATTTCATTTTTATTTAGCCAAGCTGTTCAGTAGAAGTGATATGTGATGATGAGAAAGTGTTGGGACAAACACTACCAGGTGTGCTAACAAAGGTCACCTTTTAGTACCACCTAACATTTTGTCAGTTGGAAAACATTTCCCTGTATGATGAACTTCATTTTCAACTGTCATAGAGGATATAGTCGGATGAAAATCATAGAGGCGTCCATGGAAGAGATCAGTTGTACACCATCCAGGGCAGTTGTATGACATCCAGTGTCTGATCAGCTTTAACAGTGGCATGCTACAAGATCCTTGCGGAATTATTGCTTTGATTTGTGGCAGATGTTAGCAGGGTCAGATGGATCCAAAAAGGTATTGATCAGGAATGTATTTTTTTTATCAACTGAATGTTTATGTAAATATGGGATTTAATAATTAAATTGTTTTATACTGATAATACATTTATTATTATTATACAGTATTTATAAAGCGCCAATAGTTCACTCACTGTACATTACAAAGGGGGACAGAACATGTGACAGAACAATAACAATACAATGCAAAACATGAGGGGATTGAGGGCCCTGCTCTTTCGAGCTTACAATCTAGGAGGGAGGGGATGGTGGCACAGGAGGAGATAGCTGTGGGGGATGGAGTGGTAGGAAGAGTGGAGGAGGTCGGCAAGTTAGCAGGGAGTGGGGTAGGCTTCCCTGAAGAGATGGGTTTTCAGGGTGCGCCTAAAGGAGAGGAGAGTAGGTGATAATCTGATGGGTTGGGGCAGGGAGTTCTAGAGGATGGATGACACCCTGGAGAAGTCCTGGAGGTGGGCATGGGAGGAGGAGACCAGGGAACTAGAGAGAAGGAGGTCTTGTGAGGAGCGGAGTGTGCGTGCTGGGTGGTACTTGGATATTAGGTCAGTGATGTAGTTCGGGGCAGTGTGGTGGACGGCTTTGTACGTCAGTATTGTTTGTATTTGTAGCTTTCAGCATTGTATTTGTCTGACTAGAGTCTTTGTATCCAGGAAGCATGTTTGTTTTTTCTTTGGACATAAAGGGTTATCCTAAGCATGGTTGGGTGGTTATACATGGATGCACAACCTGACACCTCCAGGCATGACACTTTGCCAGTTTAGATAGAAACAATTATATAGAGGAAGGTGTGTGCGCAGACATCTTCTGTAATTACTTTATGCAAAACAGTGGGGACTGGACAAGGTTTACTCACCTGTCCACTCTTTGTCCTTGAGGTCAGCTGGAACCTTCTGCTAGTACAATAGACTTAAGATCGATGCTCCTATATTATCTATGACCAGGTCTATACTGTAGTGTTAAATAAAAGACTTGATTAGGATCGCATGTCCAGTACACATTCATGTGGGCTTGCAAAAGTCTATGTTGTGGTCCAAACTTTTGAACACATAAATGTTTACCAATTAAGTGGTCTCTGTTAAATGTTCACTCTCTGTTCTACTAGTAAACAGAGCTATTTGTTATCAGAAAATAGGTGCAGGTACTCACCCTTCCGAGTCACCCCTTGTCTTCGCCCTCTACCCACCTCTGAGAACTGTTCATTGGCTCCACCTTCTACCCACCTCCCAGTATTGCCCCTTTTAGAGAATATAGACTCAAGTATTATTTTGCGGTACTAGGAAGTTTGTGTGTGTATGGGATTAATTCATGATAAGAAAAAAAATACCCTCGCCAGCAACAATAGATCTGTTCCAGCAACAATGGACCCCTGACAGCAACAACTTATCTCCCAGCAGTCAGCACCAACAACCCCTCCAATTGTCAGCAACAATAGACCCCTCTCTCAACAGTAAATCCCTCCCACCAACAGTTGACCCCTCCCAGCAACAATAGATCCCTCACCAGCAACAAGGGACTTTCCCAACAACAATAAACCCACCTGAAGAGATACATGCCTCCAGTGTTTCTCAGCAGCCAGCAACAATAGACTCTCCAGCACCCCTTGCTATTACAAACATTTAGTGCTGGAGGTGCAAGAACTGCATTCCCTACGTTTCCGCTGAAAAAAAGCCCTGCTAATAAACATTTAATACATGACAATGGATTCCTAGATCACTGTGGGTTAGCTAAAGAGGCAGCTTTGTAGATGCTTCTTGCTGTAGAGATCCCTTTGTCTCACTGAAAGGGATCCCTCATCCCACAGGAGGGATGAGTCATTCACTTCTATTTGTGTATCTACATTACATCTACTGTATAACACCTGTATACAAAGTTCTTATTCAACAAGCTGTTCATAGATACAGATGTGAAGAGGAGTCAAGTGCTCCACCTGCTGGCTTTAAAAAAATATATTAAACTATATACTTTGTAATAACTGGACTACTATATACAGTATGGTGTGTGTATACTGTATATATATATATATATATATATATATATATATATATATATATATATATATATACATACATACACACACTGTATATTCTATGTTTCTGTTTTAAATGTACTATTTTTGTATCAATATATTGTTTTTTACCTTTCTAAATTAAACACATACAAAAAAAAACACAATACATTCCCATCAGTAATGTACTGCCCAAGACAGGGATGGCATGCTAAGTACATATAACCAGATTCAGGTTTATTGTAATCTAACCTTTTAAAGAGTCCTCCTTATTGCTTGGTAGGGGCTACTGCATTTTGTTTTATTTATTAGACTGTAGAAATTCCAAGGGTCACCAAATGGAGATGTCATATGTGTTAACTCAAAGACTACTTGTACCAGTCCATGTCACCTTTAAGTAACTTTGTTTTCAGCTGATTTTGTTTGAGTTGAATGTTTTTGTTGAGTGGTGATGTTTAGATACAAAACTTGGAACATTGTATGTATTCTGAGTGTCTTGCTTATATCAGCCAGCCTACATATTAGTAACTCTTTAAATACAACCCATCAATCAAAGCTGTTGGTTTGTTTTACATAAAGAGGAAGTGATAGAGCCTCCGTCATGGTTTTTTTTTTTTGTTATTCACAGAACAGGAACAGGAAATCTGGGATGGAATAAGAAATCTCTTCAATGTAGACAAACACAAATAATATAAGTGGAGAAGGGTTAGAACTTCTGGCAGTGTTTTTTTTTTTATGTTTTAGAAAATTCTCTTTAGTCCCAATAACAAAAGTTCCCTCTTGCTTTTGACTTGAATTGGCCAGTAATAGATCCTATTTCCACATCCATATAGCCCTGAATTTACAAAGCATACATGAATCAACCTATCCTGAGAAAATCATCTTGCTAGTTTTAGTTTTTTTGTCAATCACAATCTGTTGATCAAATCTTTTCCACATGATCAAATGCAATTGTGCAGAATAATGGCGGCATATCCAGTATAAGCCACATAAAAAAGTCTCTTAAAGCCAAAAGCTCTTTGTTCCATTTTGAATACACTATTGGATATTAAACCTGTATGTTTTCCATCTGTGTTCAATGCTTCCTGTTGCACATTCTGCCATGTAGACTTTACAGGAAATCTCTCCAAAGTCAGAGAATCCTCTCGAAGGGCTTTTTCAGACAGGCAGTAATGCTTACCACCCTCTGAAAAGCAAACTACACTAGACTGCTTTTCAGGAGAGTGAAGTAGTGGCTGGCAGGTTTTCAGGGGATGCTACTGACTAATGTTGTTTTAAACTGCAGGTGTGCATTGTAACTGCATGCCAAGCACCAAACTCTGCAGCCTAAGTTAAAGTTGCCATGGCCGTGCAGCTGCAGCATGTGTACAGCCCTGTCAGGATGTATTGTTAGAATTTTGGTGGGCAGCTGCAGGGGCAGTAAAAGCGTATCTCAGTTGCTTATTTTTACTGCCCCTTGGCCGCCAATGTGATGGAGCCCTTTGAAAGTTGTCACTGGAATGTCCCCAATGGAAGATTTCCCCTCTATTACAGTTCTAGTGACAAATTTGTAATTTTTCCTCACTTTTATTCCGTGTGCCCATGGTCACAAGGACAAATAGACTTTACCTCCCTAGCAGGGATTGGATGCACTAAAGAGTTAAAGAAGAATTCCAGGTATGATATCTTTTAAATAGTTACATTGGTCCAGCTTGGACCATACCTAGCCATTGCCCCTGGAAGATGGAAATCGCTGAAGCAGACATTGTTACTGCATTGATCTTCACTTGCTTCTAGATCCTGTGCTGAGCATCCGGCCTGCTGCATTCTGAACACAGGAGGTCGGCCTGTCAGCATAGGTGCCATTCAGTGAATGCTGTGCATTTCCTGAATGAATGAACACAGTATTCTAAATGAGCTCTAACTAAAGGTCTATATAGGGGAATCAGCACCTCCTTCCTCCTGCTGGTGACCTCTCTAGTGATGCATCTAAGAATTCCCCACTGCCGGGCCTCACTGTTTGCTCATTTTGCATTCATCTGAAATTAGTAACCCCTAATCCTTTTCTTCTGTAGTGCTGGCCAACACTGCACCCCCAATGTTGTACTCTCTCTCTCAAGGGATTATTTTTCCCTAGGTGCAGTATTTTACAGTTAGTAACATTGAACTACATAAAACATTATGTAGAGAGAGGCAGAGGAGCTGGGCCAGGTAGGAGCAAAGAGAGAATACTGAGTGTCATGGAGTGACAGCTATGAGTCTGCTGGGGTTACTGATATTATATACAAGATGGCAGTGCCCAGCAGAAGTTTTAGGGCTTTTGGATGTCTACACAAGAGAGACTTTGCACAGATAGTACTCGGTCATGTGCACTGCTCTATGCACACTGCAAATTCCATAGTCCATTGGGAGAGCGAGCAAGAGAGGGTAGCTATGTTCCTACATATAGTAGGACCATGGAGAATGAATGTAGCCACTCTAACAGGAAGTCAGATAACAGCAGGAAAAGAAATTTAGAGATTTGGAGGAGTCTGAGAGCAACAGAAGATACTTTCTAGTTAACCACTTGCCCTCCAGAGGATTTACCCCCACTTCCTGACGCTGCATTACTTTAACTGACAATTGCGTGGTCATGCAACGCTGTACATAAATGAAATTTATGTCCTTTTTGTTTCCACAAATAGAGCTTTCTTTTGGTGGTATTTACCTACAATTTAAAAAAATAACATTTTTTACTTTTTGCTATAAAACATATCCAATAAAATTAAAAAAAAAAATTAAATTTCTTCATAAATTTAGGCCAAAATGTATTCTGCTACATGTCTTTGCTAAAAAAAAAAAATCCCAATATGTGTAATCGGTTTACGTTAAAATTATAGTGTTTACAAATGGCAAAATATATACTGGAATTTTAATTTTTTTTATACAAGTAATGGTGGCGATCAGCAACCTACAGCGGGACGGCGGCAGGCATTCTGACACTGGGTGGGAACTAACTGCCACTGACATCCCCAGTGACACTAATACAGTGATCAGTGCTAATAAAAAGCACTGACATTGTACTAATGACACTGGGCAGGAAGGGGTTAACATCTGGGGCAATCAAAGGGTTCACTGTGTGCCTGGTATGTTTTTCTATGTGTTCTGTGTTGTGTTTTACTAGGGAGGCATGCTGCTTTGTATTTCTCTGCTGTGCAGAGAAATGCAAAGCAGCGTGTCCGTGCTGACACACAGGTCTCTCCCCTGTCAGCTTTACCTGGCGATAGCCAAATGCCGGCCGGGAATTGCCGGCTGGGACCCAGTGATTGACATCCCTAGCCACCAATGGCAGCACGGGTAGGGTGGTGCATGTGCCCCCTAACCAGAAATGCAAATCACGTGTATATATACATGATTTTGTGCAGCCCTGTAGAAGTTGTTTTGCTATCGGGCAGCGGACAAGCGTTTAAAGCTGAAAACTGGCATAAGCAAATATCATATTGTGTTCTTCCTTGAATCGTGGTGTTTTGTGTATTTCTTGCAGATCTGTTTAGTAGTCCAGTGTGAAACTTTACCTCTGTGCAGAGCTTCTGTAATAAAGACCAGTCACTGCTGATCTCTCTCTGCAGGGTGACTGGTCTTGTCTCTGCCCCCTCCCATAGTTTTCTGCAGGCAGCCTGTAATGGGTGGGATCTGTTGGGTTGCCCCACAGCTCTGTTCTGCTCTCTGCACATGTACAGCACAGTGATTATGTCACTGATATGTTTATGAGGTAATATCTGGGTTTACAAATACATTTTGCACACAGAAAGTGGATTTATATCCTGTATGGCTGCTGTGGAATATATTGTTTGTTTGTGTGCCCGGAGTTCAGCTTTAACAATACACTTCTTGTTTTTTTTTTAACTAGAGGTTTAGTGTCACTTGAAGTATTTTACAGGCTTACTTGCATTGTTTTTACTTTCCATATATTGATTTTTATTGGCCTGCAATGTTGACCTTTAAACTTAATGGGAAATTTCACAAATCAGTTGCCAGCACAACCCCTTCCCCCCTTTAACCGCTGCCCGACCGCCCTACAGCAGAAGTACTGCTACAGGGCAGCATGGATTCGCAAAATCACGTATATATACGCGATAGGCATTTCCAGGTAGGGGGAGCGCGCGTGCGCTCCCTACCTGCGCTGCTATTGGCTCCTCGGCATGTCAGTCACCGGGTCCGGCCGCTGATTCTGGTCCGGGACTCGGTGATCGTCAGCAGAACAACACAGATCTCTTCCTTGTCAGCACGGACATGCTGGTTTGCATTGCCCTGCACATCAGAGCAATACAAAGCAGCATGTCTACATAGTAAAATACATACAGACACAGCACACTATGTAAACCACAACGCAGTACTCTGTTAACCCTTTGATCACCCCAGATGTTAACTCCTTCCTACCCAGTGTCATTAGTACAGTGACAGTGCTTTTTATTAGCTGTATTAGTGTCAGTGGGGATGTCAGTGGCAGTTAGTCAGTTCCCACCTAGTGTCAGAATGCCCACCACAGTCCCGCTATGAGTCGCTGATTGCTGCCATTATTAGTAAAAAATTTATTTTAAAAAAATCCCAGTATATATACCTCCATTTGTAGACACTATTCCTTTCACGTAAACCAATTAATTTACATGTATTCTGATTTTTTTTTTTAGCAAAGACATGGAGCAGAATACATTTTGGCCTAAATTTATGAAGAATTTTATTTTTAAAATTTTTTTACTGGATAGGCAAAAAATGGCCTGGTCAGGAAGGGGGGTAAATCCTCTAAAGGACAAGTGGTTAAATACAACTGCAAGCCATAGCCCTCTCTTCTGCTGGGAGTGTCTTAATTACTTTCCATGCGGCCCAGCTCTTCTGCCCCTCCCTACATAACCTTTTATGTAGCTGCCACGTAGAAGCAAAGAGGAATACTGAATGTCATGGAGTGACAGCTCTGAGTTTGCTGGGGCTACTGATATTATATACAAGATGGCAGTGCCCAGCAGAAGTTTTAGAGATTTTGGATTTCTACCCAAAGAGAGACTTTTACAGGTAAAACCATGAATAAAATGTGTTTGATGCACATACAATCTTATGGGGAAATGGTTGCTGAAATGAATGTTCTGGTGACAGGATCTCTTTAAGTTATGCATTAACATGTGTAGTTATTTCGGATGGGCTGCCAGCATACCAGTGCTGATTAAGGGCTCGTTCACACTTGCCTTGGTCTCTGAAGAACAAAATGCATTTGGATTGCTCTTCAGACAGCATTTGACAGGTGATAAGATGGTGTTGTATCTACAAGCACTAAGAAAAGGGACATCCAACTTTTTCTTTGCAGCACACCACAATGTGCAGTAGTGTAGGGCTGGTTGACACTGGGAATTGCATGGGAACACACTGCATGTTCCTCTACCATTCACATATAGTGCAGTGTGGGGCCATTTGAGCCCATTCATTTTAATAGACTGATACACAATGGACCGCAGAAAAATTAGTGCATGCACTACTTTTTGGAAATGCACTGCAACCAGATTGCATAGTACTCCTGCACCATGTGACCTGTGTTTAAGGTGTCGTTAACATTGACACCTGCTGCAGATTACAATTGCAGTGTATTTCAAATGTGGTGAAGGAAGTGCACAGAATTTGGGTGTCCAGCACTGAGTCCTGATGTGAAAGGGCACTCATTCACACCTAGGCATATTTACAATGCAGGCAAAACATGCTGTGTGTGTTCTCAGAGGGCAGCCCCTACGTGCAATACAGTAACTTATGTGGCTTTCTGCCACGTTGTTTTGCATATCTTTAACCACACATTTTGCTTCCCTTGTTTGGGGTGCTATAATGATACCTTTACATATCTGTATCTGGCTGGTAGACAGTCTTTTCATTCATTTTCTTTTCATTTCAGTGTGTTGCCCGACCAGCAGAAACTCAGGGAAAAAAGTCCATGACTCTTTTTTTCAAATTGCATCATACCACGTCACGCATGAAAATGTGTTAGGTTTTCCGATGCATGGGGTTGGTATTAAGAACTAATGGCACCTCTGCCTGTCTGGACGTGTGAAGGGAGCCTTACCCTGCACTATCGTGTGTGGCAACCCACGTGTATCAGAGATTAGTCAGGATCAGTGGTCTCAAAACTGTGGCCCCTTGCTAGCCTTTATCTGGTGCTTGAGGCACCATTCCATCCAATGATTGGGCAATCTTCCTCCCACTGACGCCAACGATGGAGCACTATTGCTCCCACTGACGCCAACGATGGGGCGCTATTGCTCCCACCGACACCAATGGGGTACTGTTGCTCCCACTGACCAAATGGGGCGCTATTGCTCCCACTGACGCCAACAATGGGGCGCTATTGCTCCCACTGACGCCAACGATGGGGGCTATTGCTCCCACCAACACCAATGGGGTACTATTGCTCCCACTGACGCCAACGATGGGGCGCTATTGCTCCCACTGACGCCAACGATGGGTCGCTATTGCTCCCACTGACGCCAACGATGGGTCGCTATTGCTCCCACTGACGCCAACAATGGGGCGCTATTGCTCCCACTGACGCCAACAATGGGGCGCTATTGCGTCCACTGACGCCAACGATGGGGCGCTATTGCTCCCACCAACACCAATGGGGTACTATTACTCCCACTGACGCCAACGATGGGGCGCTATTGCTCCCACCGACACCAATGGGGTACTGTTGCTCCCACTGACACCAACGATACTATTCCTCCCACTGACACCAATAGGGTACTATTGCTCCCACTGACACCAATGGGGTACTATTCCTCTCACTGACACCTTTTATTGGGCACTGTCAGGGGCAGACTGACCATTTGGAAACTCGGGCGCTGCCCTGAGGGCCTGGGGTCAGTAGGGGCCCCATGAGATGCCCCTGGTACCTTTTTCATAGGCTTTTTTGTTTGGGCAAGGACACATGATCCCCTATTGCCCGGGGGCCCCATGAGTTGTCAGTCTGCCCCTGGGCACTGTGCCTCCCTCTGACACAGTTGGGCATGGACTGTTCCTCCCACTGACGCCAACGATGGACATAGTTTATTCCCACTGATGCCAGGACATTTTCTACTCCCACTTGCCACAGTCCGGTCCCCCAAAGTGTGAAGGACAGTAAAATGGTTCTTTGTTTACAAAGGTTGGAGACCCCTGGTGAAGATGAACTCCACCATAACACATGCGAGTTCCCACAATGTATCAGTGAGGTATAGGCTCCAAGGGTGAGGGTGGGGATTGTCCTTGCACAGGGACTCCGGTGGTTCCGTCTATCAATGCTACACGTCCATAATAACCTCGCTGCCCCATCCTAGAAGACAATCCAGAACAGTCCTTTATTGTCATCCGGGCCTCCCCCCGTCTAGGCACAGGTGGCACTGTTCTGCCATTCTACCCTGCACGCTCCCGCATTCTGTGTCGGGGCCGCGCTCCCGCCCTGCCTGCCGGCTGGGGAAAAGAGAGGGGGCGGGCGGAACGTGTCACAGGCTGAAGGGAAGAGGAGGAGGTGTGGCAACCCGGAACCGGAAAGGGTGAGGAGAAGGAGGGTCTGCGTATCGAGAAAGGGGTCTGTGGAGAACGTAGGAAGGAGCCGGCACCGGCGGGGAGTCCAGGCCGCAGCTCTTCACAACAACGCCCGGTAATTGAACGTGCTCTATGTACTACAGCTTGTCGCCGCATGAGCCTGGGGGCGCTGTTCTCACTATAGGGGGACCGGAACGGAGAGCGCAGCACTGATTCCAGCGTTGACATCCCGTGTGTGCTCTGCTGGGACTTGTGCTTCCTCGTCAGTTGGACACTCACTTCCCGCCTGCGATACAGGTTTCTGCTCTGCCTCTGAGCTGGCACCAGATGAGTTGTCCACACTTATCAGACGAGTGTCTAAACCCTCTTATGTGATTGGACGATTGTCCGCACTCTCTTATCTGATAGGATGATTTGATTGGACGATGCTTATCTAATTGAACAGTTACCCACACACTCTTATCTGTCAGGACGATTGGTCACACACTCTGGTTGGATGATGCTTATCTGCTGGGAAATTTGTCCACACTTATCTGATAGGTTGATCAGCCATACACACACTTGTCTGATTGGACAATTGCCTGCACGATTTTGTCTGATTGGATGATGCTTGTCTAATTGGACAACTACCCATACACTCTTTATCTGATAGTACGATTGGACTCACACTGTGATTGGATGATGCTTATCTGGTTCCAGACACTCTTATCTGATAGTTTGACCAGCCATACACACACTTAGCTGATTGGATGATCAGCCACACACTGTTATCTGATAAGAGAGTGTGAGCGATCGTCCTATCTGGTAGGATGATTGGTTTCACACTCTGGACGATTCTTTTTTGCTTCCAGGCACTCTTGTCTCATAGGTTGATCAGCCATACACACACCTATCTGATTTGATGATTGACCACAAAATCTTATGTGATAGGACGATGGCCTATACACAATCTCATTTGATTGGACAGTGGACCATACATTCTTATCTAACTGGACAATGCTTATCTGATTGGACAGTTGCCTACACACACACTTTTCTGATTGGATAATAGCCAGTTTTTATTCCTTTTGATTAGTGATGTAAGTGGTGGTGTTTTTGATTACATGTATTTGAGTTTCTGGTCTTACAGAATGTCGGTGGGAAGGGCTAGATTGTTGACTTTATTGAGTCATATTGTTTTTGTTCTGTGGATGTAGTGTGTGTGTTATTTAACCACTTGCCCTCCAGAGGATTTGCACCCCTTCCTGACCAGGCCATTTTTTGCGTTACGGCGCTGAGTTACTTTAACTGACAATTGCGCAGTTATGCAACACTGCACCCAAATGAAATTTATGTCCTTTTTTTCCCCACAAATAGAGCTTTCTTTCGGTGGTATTTGATCACCTGTGCGCTTTTTTATTTTTTGCGCTATAAAAAACCCCCCACAATTTTGACAAAACTATATTTTTTTTTTTTTTTTTATTTTTTTTGCTATTGAATATGCCCAGTAAAAAAATGTTGAAAATCACATTTTGCCATAAATTTAGGTCAAAATGTATTCTGCTACACAGCTTTGCTAAAAAAAAAAATCCCAATACGTGTAAATCAATTGGTTTACGTGAACGTTATAGCGTTTACAAATGGCGACATATACTGAGATTTTTTAAAATTTTTACCAGTAATGGCGGCAATCAGCGACTTACAGCGGGACTACGGTGGGCATTCTGACACTGGGTGGGAACTAACTGCCACTGACATCCCCAGTGACACTAATATAGTGATTAGAGCTAATAAAAAGCACTGACACTGTACTAATGATTCTGGGCAGGAAGGGGCTAACATCTGGGACGATCAAAGGGTTAACTGTGTTGTGTTTTACATAGTGTGCTTTGTCCGTGTGTGTTTTCAATAGTGTTACATGAATGTTATACCGTTTACAAATGGCGATATATATACTGGGATTTTTTTTTTTAAAATTTTTACTAGTAATGGTGGCGATCAGCGACTTACAGCGGGATTGCGGC